GGCATTCCTGTCTGCTCTCTTCTGGTCAACATAGAGTTATTCTAACGTTCCATTTATCCAGTTTTAGACAGTTCTAATTTTATGAATGTTGTTTATCTTAAAAGTTCTCCCTTTTATTTAGTTCTCTTTTTGTTTTAAATTTAAATGTAAAGTTGTACTGAGGTTTTTGATTATTCTAAGTTGAAGATTTTTATCCATTTAAATTGTTAACACTTCATATCATCAGTTACCAAGAAATCACTGCAAGTTCAGTTCAGCCTTTATTTAGTTAAGAGAAAACCAAAACAAAAACAGCATAGGATGAAATTCATAAAAAATTGCAACTATGTGAGAAGCAAAGACTCGTCACCCCAAGTTTTCATGTTGTTACTAATTTTAAAAATTGTATGCTCGTAAGCTACATAAATGTTGTTGGAAAAAACTGGAAAAACAGAAAGAGAAGTGTGATGACACTCCCTCCTCCTCTTGCCACAATCCCATAGAGTAGGCTGCCTTAGTTCCTGCACTCAACAATGAGCTCTTCATGAGGCTGAATAGAACTAGTTATTCCTTCACTGAAAACAGCCAATCATCAAATTTGGGGACTGTACATTCAGTTGTTTAGATGTATGCAATAAATAGCCTTAACTATCTGTGAATAAGGAAGGTGCTATTGGCTAATCATAATTTCTCTGATAATTTTCAGTCTAAAAAATAATTAAAAATGAATAACCCCTAACTTGTAAAAAATGTAATATATTTAATAAGAGCATGAATTAAGACAGCAGGGAAAGTGTGAAAAAATAAATGAATACTGTTTCTAGTGTATATTAGTAATTCTTTGAAGAATAATTACATACTCTTTTCTAATATTTTAAGGAGACATACATTCCACCATTTTTTAAAGTAAGAAAATTTCTGCTATGTTGAGAAATAAGCTAAAAATTTTATATTTGTTTTTTCTTTGTAACAGCAGTGTTCATGCAGTTAACTACAGCCGTAGCTATATGTATGGACAAGAGATATGTATATATATATAATATATATATCAGCAATCCTGTATAAATGCTGTTAGTATGTTGGTATAACATGCAGTCTTTTTTCTTTGTATTTTTAGACATTTTAAATCTTGCCTGATATGTAACACTATATGATTATGTTGCATGTTACTGCATACTAGAAGATGTGTATATATATGTATGTAAATTTTACTAGTCCCTTCTGTAGTCTGAAGAAAGAGAAGATATATTTTAAAAAATAATTTTGAGGATTCACTTAAAATTTAAAATGAGGCAAAAATATTTTCAGGTATTGAAGATAAATTTCTTGGCTCACTATGGTTTTTGGGTCAGTCTTTTATGAGCATCTAAAGTCTGTACATATCTGTGCAATCTTTTATTTCATAAGTATGATTATTGAACATCTAAAAAATTCATTTCCAAATTAGAGTTTAAAAATTAATTCTGAGATTTCTCTATAGGAAGTGATTTTTAGATGTGCAGAATTTTGTATGTGTTTTAGTTATTACTGCTTTTTTTAAAAGTAGAAAAATAAAGACAAAAAGAAGAGAGAAGACAGAAGTAAGGTGAGAGGCACTTCCTGAAACAACATCCCTATATACCTTTTCCCTGAACATTCCACATACTTAACTCCTGGCTGTGCTCTGTACTTGTAGTGCTCTGTTCATGTCTTCACCCTGAGCAGAGTCTTCTAGAACAGAACAATGCTTTATTCTGCTTCCCCAAGATATAACCATATCTTACTATGTAGCACATAGTAAGCAACTAATGAACACTCAATAAGGGAAGGAGAAGAGGAGAATATGTGCATACACCAAGCACGAGGAAGAATTATATCAGGATGTTTTTAGCTGTAGTTATAAAATATCAACTACATGTGGCTTAAACAATAAGGACATTTTTTATTTTACATCAGAGTTGGGGCAGTTCCAAGTTTGTTATGCAGCTGAACAGTGTCATGGAAGACCCAGATGTTTTTCATTTTTGTACTCAGCCATCCTCAGCATATTGGTGATTTCTTCCATTATAGTTGCAAGATGAATGTAGGAGTTCCAGATGTTATTTGCAGACATGACCATGTCCAACAAAGAAGAGGCGGTGTTTTCTCCTGTGTATCTTAGTTTATTACAGAGGAAAGCCTTGCACAGTTGCTTCCAGCAGACTTTCACTCAGGTCCCATTGGCTAGGATTGGTTTATAAACTTATGCCCTAGCTGACAAAGGCTACTGGGTAGTCACTATCAGTGACTGGCACAGAAACACCAGAGAAAGCAATAAAAGGAAAAAGGAGAAAGATAGGTTGTAGAAACAAGAGTAATGAATGATGAAATATTATGTAGTATGTGTAATATAGTATGTTGTACATTATTTAGGCCTAGTACATTCTGCCCTGTATATATACTATCTTTTATCTAATGTATGTATGAAGCTAGTAGAGCGGTATTATTTTTAAGTGACAATGTGTACACTCAAGAGTAGATCCTGGTTTTATAGGATCCTATACACTTGAAGATGTAAAGTATATGAAATTGTAAGTATAAAATTAGAAACTTCATTACCAAATAAACTAAGATACACAGGAGAAAACAAATTTTTCTCTAGTGCCATCCCCAGGCTTCCCCATATTTAACATCACTGCTCCAGAGAGAATAGAAAACAGCTTAGGATGAGACTGGGTTACAAGTCAGAAGAATAGAATTTACTTTATATTTATTTTTTTAAAAATTAGAGACAGTGTCTTGCTCTGTCACCCAGGCTGGAGTATGGTGATGCAATCCTAGCTCACTATAGCCTTGAATTCCTGGGCTCAAGCCATCCTCCTGCCTCAGCTTCTCTCCTGAGTAGTTGGGACTACAAGCATGTACCACCATGCCCAGCTAATTTTTAAAAGCTTTTTTGTAGAGGTGGGAGGGTCTCACGATGTTGCCTAGGCTGGTGTCAAACTCCTTCCTCAAGTGATCCTCCTGCCTCAGCCTCCCAAAGTGCTGGCTTTACAGACATGAGCCACAGTGCCTGGCCAGAATTTATTGTAAACATTATAGTATTCTGGGGAAGGAGGACATGGCACTCTAATAATTATTAAAGGAAAAGATAAATGTATGGGAATTATAAAGATATCGATGTAGATGGTTTTAAACAAGAACTTTGAGTTTTTATTAATAGTATTTTTAAATAGTTGTAGTTTATTGAATATTCTTTACTCTGAGGAGCTGTGTATAAAAGTGAAAATACTTGAGTAGAAAAATTAATCCTTTTACTTTCTCAAAAACAAAATGTTCAGCCCATTATGTATATATAATTATATATATATATATATATATATATAATGGGTTGAACATGATATATATATATGTCAGGTGTGTTTACATAGATACATATAAAGTTTATTACAATAGGACACCTGTATAATTTGTATTGATTTCTTAAGTAACATGTTAATTAAAATATTTTCTTCCCATTTCTTTGGGTAGGTGTAGGGATAGGATGGGGAGAGAGAAAAACAGTGATCACCTGTTTCACCTGCTGTTTTGTTGGTTTCCAGGCTATTGCAGTAGCATCCCAGAGACTGCTTCTGAGGAACCTGTTACATTGCTAGCTTGATACTTCAGTCTGTTGCTCCCATTGACTTCTTTTTTTAAAATCATTTTCCTCTTATCCCTGGTTCTTACGATTACATACGAACTTCCCATTGTATATCATTTCACACTAGATTTTAAAAATTGAAACATATATTTGCCTAGGCATGTGGTGTTAATTTGCAGAAGTGTATCATGAGTGCCAGAGTTGAATGAGCCTGGCACACAGTAGCCTTCTGTTAATACTTATTTAATTAAATAATGAATGAATCATTCATATAATATTGAGACATCTAAGATAATTATATAATTTAAGGGAAACAAATATTGGACACTAATCTGTGTTTGCTAACATTATTTTTTAAGAAAAATGTGACACTACCAAAATTTTTAAAAAATCAAACACTATATTTTTCAAATTAAAGACCTTAAACTATATGCTGATAGATAACTTGACAATTAATATATTCATATATTGCTAAGGCAATACAAATCTGGGAAAATAAGGACATAATTAGAAAGGAAGAGATTATAGAAATGAGTGTATGTGATTCAGTATATGTGATTCGGCCATGAATACAATGAGAATAGAATCTGTATGTGTGGTGCTTTATGCTTTTCAAAAGGCATTTTTTACTTATATATTACATGGATCTGCCTGCCTGTCTGCCATTATCCATTATTTAAAATGTGTTCCTTTTATAGCTGTTATTCTTGGACACACAAGTAAATCAACACGTTGTGTATTCAAAAGATATATACTTGATTTCTGACTTGTGACATGGTTAAGATAAATTTATTCCTTTAAGCATTAGCATTTACATATAAAAAAGTATATTGATAGTTGTAGATCTCATTTTTGAAGGTATTTTTACATGTACAATGAAAATACAGCTTTTTATTTTGCATTAAGTTTTTTAAAAGATCTTTTAAAAGTACTACAAGATAAAAGAATTTAAAAATCGACATTATTGGCACAAGATTCATGTTAATGTTTACTCACATAAATAGCACAAAATACTGCCTAATTAGTGTGGTTGGTAAATTTTTGGTACTTTAATTTTCTCTGTTATTGTAAACCATGCATAAAATGCTTGCCTATTGAGAAGGGCAGAATTGTCAGAGCTTAAACAGCTGACATCTGCTTACTCTCTTAAAAAAAAAAAAAAAGAATAACAAGCCATTTCAGCCTAATCTACCTCAAATGTGTTCATGTAAATGGAGGTCCATCTATTGACCTGTATTCTTTTCAGCTCAGGATTGGTCCACATGGTTTATAAAACCAGGAAGCCTGATTTGAAATGCAGATGTCGAGAGAGTGAAGTATACCCTCCCCTTTTTTCTTTGCTGTATCTGTCAGGGTGAAAAATGGCTTGCACAAGGGTCAGTCACCCATACTCACTTAATTACTTTTCTTGGACCCACAGAACTGTCACAAGCTGTGGTGGATGCGGGAGCTGTTCCTCTTTTAGTACTTTGTATCCAGGAGCCAGAAATTGCTTTGAAAAGGATTGCTGCTTCGGCCCTCAGTGATATTTCAAAGCATTCTCCAGAGTTAGCACAGACAGTAGTGGATGCAGGAGCTATTGCTCACTTAGCCCAGATGATCCTCAACCCTGATGCTAAATTGAAGGTATTTGAAAGTAAGGTTGAAAAACAAACAAACCAACTTTCTTATAATGTAAGAAAATAAGAAACATATACATATGAATATTTCACATCTAAAAATAATTAGCAAATTATCATTGAAAACAGATATGAATATATTGTGTATTTGGTCTTTTAATATGTAAAAATAATGCTGTAAAGATTAGACAATAAAGATGTGATTGGGAAAACTAATGTGCAATGTTGAAGATTACATGTAACATCAGTGTTAACATTAATAATTAAGGAATCACATGATAATCAAATCTCAGGTTTGAAAGGGACCTAAAATTTTTTTTCTAGCCCATAATTTAAGTTTCTTATAAAAATTGCCATATTAATATTAGTATTTTTATGGCTTTCAGAAATCTGATTTTTAGTTAATGGCCACCAATTATAAATTATTCCAATTTCTGTAAAAATATTATAATATTCTGTAAAGTTTAAAAATTATTAATGTTAACTAAGAAATGCAAAGTTTTTTGAAGTGGTATCAGCATCATGCTGCAAATAAGTTGTTAGTTCTGCTTGATCATTTTTGTACTAAATTATCACATGTGTCATAAATTAATACTTTGAGAATTGCATTTTTAAAAAATGGTCTTCATTCAGAGGTCATATTATTTAATCGTCGGCAATAGAGTTTTAAAATAGTAGAGAACTAATGTGGAAATTAGCAAATTTTAAAAACTTGAGCATAAGATTAAAATGTGAATGTTTCAAGATTCACAAATCGTTAGATACGTAATTTTTTCCCTTTCATAAAGGAATTTGCATATGTATAAACCTGTTCAAATTACACCTGAACTCTGTAGTGGGTGTTGCATAATGTTCTATTTTGTTTTTTGCTTAACAGTGCCAGGTTCTTCTGGCTCTCAGTCAGGTTGCAAAACATTCTGTGGACCTGGCAGAAATGGTCGTTGAAGCCGAGATTTTTCCAGTTGTACTTACCTGTCTGAAGGACAAAGATGAATATGTGAAGAAAAATGCTTCTACTTTAATTAGAGAGATTGCTAAACATACACCTGAGGTAAAAAAAAAAAAAAATGGCTTCATGTTACAATAATATGTAGTAGTTAGTTTTAGTTTTTCAATAAAACTGTAGAACCAAGGGGTTGTACATGATCTGGTTAGGTCAGGATTTTTTCATCCTCTGCGCTATGCTTGACATTTTGAACTAGGCAATTCTTTGTTGTGGTAAGCTCTCCTATATATTGGAGAATGGATGTTTAGCAGCATCCCTGGCCTCTGCCCACTAGATGCCAGCAGCACCCATACCCCCCAAGTGGTGACAATCAAAAACATTTCCATACATTGCCAATTTTCCTCAGGGGGCAAAATTGCCCCCAGTTGAGAATACTGGGTTATGTTAATGGACTTTCAGTTTGAAATCGCAGTTTCTAATAATTTCCAGCTTTCTATCCTAGGCTGTGGGGAAAGCAGAACTTTGTCATCCTTACCATTTTGTGTCAGTTGGGAGTAGTGAAAATGAGTAGAGAGACCACAAAGGTCCCCTGGCCTAGTGTGATCGCCCCAGCAGTTGCTCTTGTGTGGCGATCTCCTGCTCTGAGTTCTTAGATGGGAAAGAAGAGACAGAGCAGGTTTGTGTTGATCTTGAAGTTGTATTATTTTTCTGTGTATATTTTGACTAATCAATTTTCATTTCATTAATCTTTCAGTTCTCATTCTTTGTGTGACCTAACATCTTTATTTGGTTGAGATTTTTGAAAATTGAAGTGCACTCAGCTAGTAATCATTACTAGCAAAGGTGGGATAATTAGGTTAGGATATTTCAAGTCTGACATTGTCTTTCGGCATTCAGTGATTAATCTGCTTCATGCTCACCCATTGTGATTGGGGTTTTCAGTACTTAGCTAGTTATGAACTAGCCCTAGGCTTAGTGTCTAGGTAAGGAATTTTGACATCCATTATAATAGGGATAAAAGTTGTGCCATCGATGCATGAAAAATTGTAGTAGTGGTACTTTCTGAAGGGTCACCATAAGGATGTTACTGGGATTTCCACAGAATAAAGCTCTTCACAGTGAGTATATTATGCATTTGAAATAGGATTATTATGCTTGTATATTTTCAAAATAAATATTGTAATTTCACTAAATGATATTTTTATTTTTCCAGTTGTCTTTAGGTCCTAAATAAAGTGTGACAATACTTAACTGACATTTAAAAATCACCTTATGCTTTCTAGTCTTGATTATCTAGCTGTCATTCATTTCTTTTAGCTTTCACAGCTGATAGTTAATGCAGGAGGAGTTGCTGCTGTGATTGATTGTATCGGGTCCTGCAAAGGGAATATAAGGCTGCCCGGCATCATGATGCTTGGTTATGTGGCGGCCCATTCTGAGAACCTCGCAATGGCAGTGATCATTTCCAAGGTTCGTTCTTGCTTCCTTTCCTTTTAGTTATTGCAGTAAGATATGCTGAGACAAAACCACAGATTAATCAATCTCTCCTACAGAATATGAAATATAACTAACTGGAGCAAAAGAATTATCTGAAAAAAATTTTGACTGTTTCAATGCTTATTAATAAGTTTTCTAAAGCAACCCTTAAAGTGAGGTTTAGGTTATGGGAAGTTTAAAGTTTTACACAATGTTTAATATCTTTAGAGTATTAGTATTATCTGCATTTAAATCTTAAGTTTATTTGTGTTTTGATTAATTGTACATATTTATAAACACGTAAAACATACTTTGTTAAAAAAAAAACTATTATAAATGATATATCCAGTAGTCATTTTCACTATTCTCAAAGGTCTATATATTCCTCCCTTTCCAGTCACTTGGATAGGAGATAGCAATGGCTAGGACATCCCTTTTCATCCACCTCAGCTTTCCTGAACTAATTTCTCTTATTAGATGTAGGCAATTCAGAGCACATGTCACATAGCAATTTTGTTTCCTTGCTCTAGGGATTTTGCTTTACCTCAATTCACAACTTTGTATGAACCCACTGTATAGTACAACCCCAGCACATAGTAGGTGCTCACAACATTTGTGCTGATGAATAAATATTGATCTCTGGGAGAACACTTCAAAGACTATGTGCTTACAGTGTGTGGTGACCCTCTGGGGTATGGATTTCTTATCAGCATAGAAAACCTGCTGCTGTATGTTAAACAGAAATGTGGATTTTTTTTTTATCCCTTGCTAATCCTCAGAATAAAAAGGAGCCTCAGATCTTTATTTTCTACCTATTTCATGATAATTCTTTGCTATATTCCCATTTATCCTGCTCTTTTCCTTTTGTTCTTCTATGACCACAGGCTGTGATAATGACTAGAGTAGTAGTGGTACTTTCTGAAGGGTCACCATAAGGATGTTACTGGGATTTTGATCCTTGGTTCTTTTGTGGATAGTCAGAATGCTTCTGCATAGGAAAAATGATGAAAAAAGCAATTGCTTTTGCTTCCTACATGTCTTCCTCAAATGAACCAGGAAGCCTTCCCCTTCTTTGGTCCAGGGTTGTGGTTGGCCTCTCCCACCTGGTTTGTTTTTCAGTTAGTAGGAGATCAAGGTGGCTACAGAAGTTTCAGGCTAACCATGCACTAGCACTCTCTCCTTTTCCTGTGTGGTACTGTAGAGACTAACACTTATACCTTACATTTAAATAATACTTTAATTTTTGAAGCACATTTATGTTCCTTGTCTGGTTTATTATTCATAAACAGCTGAGGCTAGCAAATCAGAGCTTTGAGGATGGGGAGGAGGTACGATCTTTTCTTCCTGCTTCTTTAATCTTATTATGCTATGTTCTGGAAGTATGGGCTTTCTGGAAAGTTGTTTCATTCTGAAGACAGATCTGACCTTTGTATTGACAGACATACATTTTTTAGTTGCAGGAAATCCTGAAGCCAATGAATAAATATGGCAGGTCTCTTCAGGAAATTGGTCTTATTAACCAAATTAAAAGGTGGAAGAAAAAAGTATATATGACAATTTTGGCCTTTACTATGGTAGCATGATCATATGATACTAGTTTTTGTGGTACTAAATTTAAGATGATTACTATAATCTCAAATTTGTTAGAAAATTATGGCTATACAGAATCTGGAATTATAATTTGATCTGGTTATTTGATTCTTCCTTGGGTATACAAATTGTAATGTATGAGATTCTTTAGTTAATCCTATTTTTAATATTTAGATAAAATTGGAGCCTAAGATGCAAAATGTAAGAAAGCACAGGCTATCTGTGTAACAAAAGTAATTATTTCTACTTTGACATTCAATCATGTTAAAATGGGCAAAACTGTAATTTAAATGTTGACCAAAATTAATAGAAAATTATGTATGTACTGTTTCAGGAAAGGTATTAGTGAATATATTTCACTTAAATGGCACTTAGATAGGATTCTTACTCATTTATTTGATTTTCTATCTATAGTAGTTGTTTTGTTCTCAGATGTATTACACTTGGTGAAAAGACAATTTCTTTAAAGAAACTTTCCTTAACAAAGAAAAATAAAATATTTTAAAATCCTAAACATTTTTATCTTGTCACAGTGTAATCTGGCTTTGCCTACTTCCTAGTCTGTGACATCTGTTGTTTGGTTAAATACCTCTCTATTTGGAAAGGGAAGTAGAGATATTCTTATTTTAGTTGGGTTGTTACAGATAATTAAGGTAATTTATTTCTAGTTATTTATTGACTTAAGAAATGGCAGCCCCTGTGATGTGCTCATTTATTGAACTGTTTAGGAAAAAAAGAATCAAGGCTGAAATGATTGCTTCTAATGTTTGGGAGACATGGAAGACTCTTTAATCCTATTCTAGATTCATAACACTTGCTCTTTTGATCAACACTGCAGGGTGTACCCCAGTTGTCAGTCTGCTTGTCAGAAGAACCAGAAGATCATATTAAGGCTGCTGCTGCTTGGGCCTTAGGACAGTTAGGGAGACACACTCCTGAACATGCAAGGGCTGTTGCAGTCGCAAATACTTTGCCAGTTCTTCTTTCTTTGTATATGTCACCAGAAAGCTCTGAGGATCTTCAAGTAAAAGTAAGTGCTTAATTCTTAACCATTTTATGGATATTTGTTAGATTTTGACTCATTTTTAAAAATATGTAATTGAAAATATTTTAATTTGCATTATGGACAATATTGCTTTTATAAGTCAAAAAACATAAACTTAGAAGAATTGAGGTCACTCGTCTTTAAAAATGGGTAACCCTTGTCTCTAAACATTAGTGATAGATTTTAAAGAAAGCTCTCTAAGGTACAAAGTTGTTTGTAAATTGAATACCTGGTTATTGCATTCTACATTCCTGTTGACTTTTCTTATGAAATAGGAATAGAAGAATAATAGACTTATTGAGTTGGAATTTGCTGGAGAAATAGACTTATTGAGTTGGAATTTGCTGGAATTTTTACATTAAAAAACTGAGTCCAAAATAATTTAGGGTACTTTTCAAAGGTACTAGTCAGAAGGTATTCCTGAGGTCTTAATTTACCTCCTTTAACTCCATGGATGCCTGATTTTTGCTTATATGCCTTGTATTTTGTTCCTTTAAAAAAAAAAAAGTTGTCCATAAGATTCACTAAATTAAGCATTTTAAATCATGCATTTTTAAAAGGCAGATTTTCTGAAACAAGTATTATTAAGATACCAAATGATTCCAAAACCATGAATATGAAGTAGGATGGATTGTTTAATAATTTTAGAATTTAAAAGAAAAAATGTTTCCCAGCATAGTTTTTATTAGGAAAACATATAACTTTTTGGAAGCAGCTTGAAGAATTGACTTGTATTGAGGGAAGTTCACAGAAAAGACAATTCAAAATAAAATTAACAACAGTAAATCAAATTACACTTAAATTTTAATACAGTAAACTAACAAGTGTGAAAACACATTTGCTGAAACATAACTTTAAATGGTATAATGAGGAAGGGAAATTTACTTGAATTACCTACTTGAGGGACTCAAAGTTTATATATAGTGAATATTTGACTTACACATTTTATAAGAGTGAGTTTATATATGTTTGGTTATGTTTATATGTTAGTTTTCCACAAATTCATTGAGGTAAGGTAATTTCTAAGGTTAACATTTTTTCAATTTGTGTAAGTCTTTCAAGCAACAATTTAATAGATTTAGAACTTCCCTCATGTCTCCAATGATTTACATATGTAAAATTTTAACCTGTATATGTGATCTTCTTTTGGTCTCATTTTTCTTTAACCCATTATCACGATTGTCTTTGTTTCCCTCCTCTCCCCCAAGCTTTCTGGGACTTCTAATCCCCCTCCTCTTGATTCTAGTGATCCCATGGCTCTTGGCCTCCTCTATAGGCACAAATTATAACCAGGTTATAACAGTATCTATTAAATAAGAGATTATTAACAGATAAATATTTAATATTTTTAAAATAATCTCTATCTTTTCAGATTCCTACATTCAACAACTTTTATTTTTGTTTAAGTTTTGGAAGTAAAGTAAAGGAATACATGAGCTAGAGCATAAATCATTAATCATGTACTCAGTATTAATTATAGCTTGAGAAACCCTTGCAAATAGTCCCTTAGATAGCACTGTATACTTTTATATACTACAAGTTTATATAACTTGGTTTTTAATGAGGTATTGTGTTATATTGTTTACATACCATTGGAGTAAAATAAATTTGAAAACTTCATTTTTTGAAGCAAGATAACTTGTGAGTTTTAGTTTCACAAAGATGTTTTATTAACTAATAGAAATTGACTTCCTTCTGCCTATAATTGATATAATATTTACTTTCAGGAAATATCTCAAACAGTAAGCTTAAAAGTGTGATCTTTATCTATCATTATCCTATCAGCAATCTTTCAAGGCTTCAAGTCCATCTGAGTATTTTCTTATCACAGGGACTCAATCATTCTTTTTTTTCTCCCAGAGCCTCTTGAATTTTATTAGTCATTGTTTTAAAGGCTTTAGAATAAAAGTCCTTTCAAGCCTGTTTGATTTGACACTGTCTCAGTAGGGAAAAGTGTATTCAGGAGCATTAAGAACTGTATAGTGGCATCTCTCATCTCCGTGGCAGCTTTCAAATTATAAGGCAATGGTGAAGTTCATTTTGTCCCAAAGGCATGTCACCATCTGTAAGCATTCTCTAATTGGTTCCTACCCAGGGAACCAATGAGCAGCCTTTTGGAATTTCTCTCATGTTTGCTTTGGAGAAATGTTTACTCATAACCTTTGTTCATTTTACATTGGATTACTTATCTTTTTATTATTGAGTTTTAGGAGTTCTTTGTATATTCTGGATATAAGTTTTTTTAAAATCAAATGTATGATTTGCAAGTCTTTTCTCCCACTCTGTGGGTTGTCTTACTGTTTGCTCCCATGTTATTCCAAATACCTTAATAAAAATGAAAAAACACCACACATTTTTTAATCTAATAAACTTACCTACATATTGAAAATGTTTAAGAAATTACATTTTTATTTGTTTTGAGTTAGGGACATCATATTGAAATGTTCTAGCTTGGCTTGGCATTTGTATCAGTTCATTCTGTTTATTTATAAAACTATTTGTAAGATATTAAATTATTGTGTTCTTATGGTCATCATGGTTTTCTCCCATCATTATTTTAGCAGCTATTGAGACATAATTCCCATACCATACCCATTTAAAGCATACTATTAAATAGTTTTTGGCATATTTACAGAATTGTGAAACCATTGCCACAATCTAATTTTAGAATATTTTTATTCCCCACAAAAGGAATGCTGTGCCCATTAGCTGCAACTCCATAGCCCCTCTGCCTAGCCCAGGCAGCCATTAATTTACTTTCTGTCTCTGTGGATTTGCATCTTCTGGACATTTCATTTAAATGGAGTCATACATATATAGCTTTTGTGTCTGACTTTTTTACTACTTAGTCTGAGTTTCACAGTTCCTCCATGTTGTAGCATATATCAGACTTTTGTTCTTTTTGGTTGCCAAATAATATTTCATTGTATTAATATGTCACATTTTATTTATCCATTCGTCAGTTAATTGGCATAGGATTATTTTCACTCTTGACTATTATGAATAAACTGCTATAAGCATTATTGTGCAAGTTTTTGTGTGGATGTATGTTTTCATTTCTCTTGGGTATATACCTAGGGTGAAATTGCTGGATCAATGGGTAATTCTGTTCAACATTTTGAGAAACTGCCAAACTGTCTTCCAGTGTACCACCATAAAAGTATGAGGTTTCCAATTTTTTCATATCCTTGCCAATTCTTGTTATGAGCTTTATTTTTTGTTATAGTGAGTTTAAATTAGTATCTCATTGTGACTTTGATCTCATTTGTCTAATGGTCAATGATGTTGAAAATCTTTTCATATGTTTATTGGCCATTCATGTATCTTCTTTGGAGAAATGGCTGTTCAGACCCTTTACTCATTTTAAGTTCGGTAATTTATTTTTTTATTATTGTGCCATAAGAGTTATTTGTGTATTTTAGATATAAGTTCTTATCAGATGTATGATTTGCAAATATTTTCTCCCATTCTATAAGTTGTCATATTACTTTCTTGATGGTATTTTTTGCAACATAAAAGTTTTAAATTTTTTTTTTTTTGAGTTGGAGTCTCACTCTGTCACCCAAACTGGAGTGTAGTAGCCGCTCCCGGTTACCGCAGCCTCGAACTGCTGGGCTCTGGCGATCCTCCCGCCTCAGCCTTCCAAGTAGCTGGAATTACAGGCATGTGCTACCACGCCCAGCTGATTTTTTGATTTATTGTAGAGATAAGGTCTCGCTGCCCAGGCGGGTCTCGAACCTGCGGGCTCAGGCAATCCACTCACCTCAGCCTCCCGAAGCGCGGAATTACAGGCTGAGCCACTGAGCCCGGCTAAAAGTTTTAAATTTTAATGAAATTCAATGTATCTATCTTTGTTGTTGTTGTAGCATGTGCTTTTGTTGTATCTAAGAAGGTTTTGCCTAACCCAAGGTCATAAATATTTATTCTTGTGTCCTCCCTCGTTTTAATAACTGTAACTCCTCTTTGAATGAGAATGCTTTCACAACAAAAATAACTTTCTGATAAGGCTTTTTTAAAAAATTTAAGCAGTTTTTGTTAAAGATCATCTATTATGGAAAGCAGCGAGTAATTTTTGTTATTCCTCCAGTTATCTGTGAAAAGTAGCTGAAGTCATATTGATGTTTGCATAGTACTGACAATTTTATTTTGTTAATTTCTATTCTAATGTGTGTTTTTAAGAGGTAAAAAATAGTGTTGTCACTTATTGCGGTTTTTACAATAGCCCTAATCAGTAAGAATCAAGCTAGTTTTTAGAAATGACAGAAAAAATGAATGAATTTAGAACTGTAGTTGCTATGCTAGTTCATAGGAAAACCAGACTCAAACTTTCAGTGTGCCCACAACAGATAGTGCATGATTCCTTCTCTGACATCATCATATATTATATCTAGGAATAAACATTAACTGCTAAATAAAATGACAGCATAATTCATAACCTGTTATTAGTTCAGAGTAAGATATTACTTGATTTATTGAATTAGGGGAATAAAAGTGTTTGAACTCATAACATTTCTATATAATTCACCCTATGAAGTTGTAAGAACTATTTTATTTTGTTCACACTCATAAATAACCAAATATAATGCACATCTTCTAAAAGTTAACAAATCTTAAATCTAACATATGACATGATCTTGTATGTAGAAAATCCTAAGGAATTCACACACACACACAAATACTAGAACTAATGAAAGTTCAACAAAGTCATGGGATATAAGATCAAAATACAAAAATCAATTGTATTTTTATATAGTGGTTGTGAACAATTCAAATGTAAAATTAAGAAAATAGTTTTATTCATAATAGTGTCAAAAAGAATTACATAACTATAAACAAATTTTTAAAAAGAAAGTATAAGATTTATATACTGAAAGCTATAAAACGTTGCTTAAAATCCTGAAGAGATGAATAATAAATGAAGAAACATTGCATGTTCATGGATTGAAAGATTCAATATTGTTAAAAGGGTAATACTCCAAATTGATCTATATATTCAACACAATCTCTCAGAAACCCAACTTTTTTTTTTTTTTCAGAAATTGAGAAGCTGATCCTAAAATTCAGGTGGAAATGAGAATAATTCAGGCTAGCAAAACAGTCTTGAAAACTACCCAATTTCAAAATGTACCACAAAGTTGCAAAATCAAGATAGTGTGGTACTTACAGAAAGACTCATACATCAATGGGATTGAATTGAGAATCTGAAATAAACCTTTTTATGATCAACTGATTTTTTATAAAGGTACCAAGGCAACTTAATGTGGAAAGAATAGTCCTTTCAACAACTGGTCCTAAGTCAATTGTTATATTCTCAGGCAAAAACATTAATTTGGATCCTTATTTCATATTATATATTAGTCACCTCAAAGTGGGTCATAGATTTAAATATAAATGCTAAGACTATAAACTCTTAGAAGAAACATAGAAATAAATGAGTATAACCTTGGATTAGGAAATTATTTATTTACTATCTAAAGTACAAGTGATACAAAAATAGATAAATTAGATTTTATCAAAATTTAAAAACTTTTATGCTTCAAAAGTTACTACTAAGAAAATGAAAAGACAAGTCACACAAACTTGGAGAAAACATTTGCAACTCACATATTCAAGAGAGACCTTTATCTAAAATAGGTAAAGAGTTCTTACAACTCAATAATAGGAAGACAAATAACCCAATTAAACAAAGGGCAAAAAATTTGAATAGACATTTTACCAAAGAAGATATACAAATGACCAATTAACACATGAAAAGACATTCGATATCATTAGTCACTTAAGGAAATACAAATAAAAAACATAATGAAAAACACAGCACAAAAAAAAATAATGAGATATTACTTCACATCCATAAGAATATTATAGTTAATAAGACAATAACAAGTGTTGACCACCATGTCGAGAACCTTGAACCCTCTAACAATGCTGGCTGGAATGTAAAATGTTGCAATCACACTGAAGAAGTTTGGTAGTTTCTCAAAATATTAAACAAGTTTATCATCATTACTTAACTTCACAACTATCTACCCAAAGAAATCAAAACAACAGTCCACACAGACTTGTATGTGAGTCTTCATAGCAGTATTATTCATAATAACCAAATGTCCATGAACTGATGAGTGGATAACAATATGTAGTAAATCTGCATTTTGGAGTACTATTTGACAATGAAAAGGAATGAAGTACTGATACATACTGTAACATGGATGAACCTACAAACACTATACTTAGTGAAAGAGGCCAGGCACAAAAGTTCACATATGATTTCATTTATATGGATTGTCCAGAAAAGTCAAATTTATAGAGACAGAAAGTAGATTAGCTGTTGTCTGGATGGAGATAAGTGGGAGGAGGGAATAAGGAGTGACAATAAATGGGCATGAGGCTTCCTTCTGGAATGATTAAAATGTTCTGAAATCAGATTGTGGAGATACTTGTACAATTCTGTAAACTTACTAAAAAAATTATTGAATTGTGTAATTTTTGCTGAATCAATTTACCAATTGTAAAATTTGTGATATGAAAATCAAAATGCTCCTTGGCATTTCAGGAACATTATTAACATTCAACAGCGCAAAACAAGATCATGACCCAGAAGACCAGGTTGGCTGAGGCTTGAGAGAGAGAATAAGTGAACAGAGGAAAGGCTGTAAGGATGCACTGAAGCACAAAACCACAGATAGCAGATATGGAATTCTAGTAGAAAATACTGGTGGATAAACCCAATTGTGAAACTTTCCAAAATGAAGGGCACAACTTTAATACAAGGAAAACAGTCATAGTCACAACCAGCCATGGCCTGAGAGCTGGCTACAATGATTGACTACAGTCACATTGGGACTCTTCTCTAGCCACACATGTGGTAGGGGTCAGCACCAAGTGATATCACTTTGAAATATGGAGGCATGCTAGAGGGAGTAGGAGAGATATGTGTAGTACCTATTCTTTTGCTTGTGGATGATACATTTCCTATTTTTGAGAAGAGCTTTTCTCTACAGTTAAGAAGGTACTGTTTTGCTTCTGTGAATGGGAAATGTCCTTCCTATGAGTTGCAGCAGCACATCTGCAGGTGTTCATTGAATAATACACACTGTAGACATTTCTGCCTGTATGTGTAAAAACCATGAAATTGTATGGCGAATATAGAATGCCTGTTTTCTCATATTTGTTGGTTGAAAGAAATAGGATGTATTAATTATCTTGCAGTTTCCTATATACACATTTTAAGTTTTTTTTAAAAAGTACATATTAACTTATAGTCTGTAACTTTATGCTTTATAATTTTAATTTGCTGTTAGATATTTTAAGAGCTCAGATAATACCCTTTACATTTTAAAGTTTAACATGAAGATAACTGGTAGGGCATTCTATAATAAAACCAATTTAAGAGGGAGGTTTTCTGACAACTGTTTTGAAAAATGATACAACTGCAAGTTAGATCAAGACACTGACTTTATTTTCAAATTCCAGGAATGTGAGATCTGAATTCTTGTCAAGTTTTTATTGGTTACTTACTTTTTTATGCATTTTGTTTTGTATTTCAATAGAGTAAAAAAGCCATAAAGAGTATTCTACAAAAATGCACCTACCTACCAGCCCTTGAACCATTTCTGTATGATGCTCCCCCCAATATTCTGAAGCATGTGGTTGGACAGTTCAGTAAGGTAAGAAATGTCCTCTTAGCCTGTAAGGGGAAGAAGAAAATTAAAATGACTTAATTGATTTTTTTCTAATTCTCACCAATCTGTAATGATGGGGAAGGTAACATAGATTAATAAAATTCACATGCAAATAAAACATTTCCTCCTTCCTCACATTTTCCTTTCAGCCTCTGTACTGTCTTTTTTAGTGTTCTCATGAAGTAAAAATCTCATAAAATAAATAATTTATATTGATAGATCACTTTTAGTAATTTTCCCAGTCTCTTTTAGTCTTTATCATCCAAGAACACTGCAGAGATCTTATAAAGAAAAGGAAAAAGGTCTCTGAGCCACTGAAACATTTTTCACAAAGTCCAGGCACTTTACTAGAGATGCTCTTAGACAGTCATTTGGAGCACATTGACTTATTTTATGAACAATTTTAACAAAAGTGCTGTCATATTTCTCAGCTCATTGCAGATTAAATGATACTAAATGGTAGTAAGATAGAAAGGTCAAGCTGCTAGAAGTGGTCCCAGTCAGTAGAGCTGATCACTGATAGCAAAGGATGAAAGAGAATGATTTTATTACCACAGACTCTGGTCAGCATGGTGACCTTAAGCTATCAAGAACTGGTTAAATTACGCTCAGTGTATTTGACTACGGAAAATGGGATCTGTGCAAGTAGTATCCCATTGTGATTATGAGCTCAAGCTCTAGAGTTGCAGTACCTAAATTTCCCACTTACCAGCTCTAATTCTTTAACTGAAGTCTTGACACCTCTCTAAACTTTAGTTTCCTATAAAATGGGAATACAAAGAGTACTTATTTCATAAAGTCATTGTAAAGATTAAATGAGATACTGTATGTTGTTTAGCTCAAGCCCAGTAAAAACCAAAACCACCAAAGAGTTATTTTTAAAAAATAAAACATTATTTATTTATTTTTTTTTTAAATATTTTTTATTTTTTTAAATCTTTTTAGATTTTTAAAAAGATGCTTGGGTCGGGCTCGGTGGCTCAGCCTGTAATCCCGCACTTTGGGAGGCCGAAGTGAGTGAATTGCCTGAACCCGCGGGTTTGAGACCCGCCTGAGCAACTTGGCGAGACCTCATCTCTACAATAAATCAAAAACTAGCCGGGCATGGTAGCGCGCGCCTGCAGTTCCAGCTACTTGGAAGGCTGAGGCAGAAGGATCACTGGAGCACAGCAGGTCGAGGCTGCAGTGGCCGGGAGCAGCCACTGCACTCCAGTCTGGGTGATAGAGTGAGATTCCAACTCAAAAAAAAAAAAAAAAAAAGATGCCTGGAGGGAGGCAAGTTCTTCTGAATATTAAGTTATATTGCTATATAAATCAGGAACTGCTATTTATATACTATATTTCTACAAATAATGAATGAAAACTATATATTGCTACAACTTTTAAAGTAGGCCCTATAGTTAAGTAGGTCTAGTTTCAGGTATTCGTCTGAAAGATAGATGAATACCTACTGACAACCTTCATTTCCAACTTTGACCATGATCTCCAACAGCCTCACTGTCCCTCAAGCACCATAGCTACTGGAAAGTAGACATTTTATATTGCTGAAGCCACCTCAGGATATATATAGTTCTGTATATCAAATGCCCATGTTCCTTCTTCCTCTTTCCAAGAAAATAATCATTTTTTTCCTTCTTAGTTATATGGGATGTGGAAAATATGCCCCTTTGATAAATCAACTAACTAATCAAATAATACAGAAAAAAGACTAAATTACTGCAAGGGAAAAATTGATCCATTTCTTTACTTTTATGTACTTTTGGGTGCTAAGTAAGAAATTGGCTGGCTAATTTGGTCATTAAAGAGGGAGAATGGGTAAGAGGCTGAGTGAATCATCTGTGAGTCATCCACTCTTGAAAATGGGCAATTGACATTATTTCTGAAAGTTTTATTTTGTAGCTTAATCTTTTAGGCTAATGAGTGAGATATCCTAGTAGTATTTAAGTTGCTATGAAAATGAACACTAACCTACATTAGGAGTTCAAAATAAGTAAATAAAATCAGTGGGATTTGTGGAAACTAGACAGTCAAGGTAAAATAAAGACAGTACTTCATATCATATATTCTTATTGTGCCTTCAGGAGTACTTTCTTAATCTATGGATACCAAAACACTAAATAGAGATGAGAAGGCAAGATGAAAGGTGAAAACATATTAATGTGACTGGGGACAGAGATAGGAAGTAATGAAAATTCTCCAGACCAAATAAAATATTTAAGACTGATATATTTATGGGTTATTAATTTGCTTACAAATACATACTATGCAATCTTTTATTATCCAGTTGATTTGTATTATTCTATTAGCAAGATCTTTTTGTAGTTTTCATTATCTGTTAAATGCCCACATATACACAGCACTCTGTTAAGCATTGGGGAATAAACAAGATTAAGACAAAGCAAATAACTTTATAATCTAGCTGAGAGCAAAGAAACACTTCAAAGTACTAGACTTCATGATACACTTTTTTTTTTCTGAGTTGGAGTCTCACTCTCTTGCCCAGGCTGGAGTGCAGTGAAACACTCACGGCCACCCCAGTGTCAACCTGCTGGGCTCTGGCGATCCTTCCACCTCAGTCTTCCAAGCAGCCAGAATTACAGGCGCGTGTTACCACACCCAGCTAATTTGTTTTTTATTTTAGAGACGAGGTTTCACCAAGTTGCCCGGACTGATCTTGAACCCACAGGCTCAGGTAATCCACTTGCCTCGGCCTCCCAAAGTGCTGGAATTACAGGCTGAGCCACCGAGCCCAACCCATGATAAACTTTTTAAAAAGGATTTAGCTAAGCTCTTAACATACATATACTTCTCATTTAATCTTTATAATGATCCTATGAAATAAGTACCTTTATTATTTCTGAAGTACTCAGAAGGACTTCAGTGGAGGAAGTACAAGTGAGAAGAGCTGGTCCTTGAAGAAAGAACAAGATGGAAGGGGGAATAGTAGCAATGACCAAGAGGAAAAGCAAGAATTCCCATATTGTGAGCCCATACCCTTTCCCAGGACTTTCCTAGTCTAGTTAGCTTTTTGTCTTTCACAATGAATTTCTTCATTTCCAGTGGCTTTTTCCTGTCAATATACAAACATACTTAAGTCTCTTTCATCCTATGAACATCTGAAACATCTGTAACCTTTAGTTCTATCCTAGCTCATTCTCAGTTTGCTTATTTCCTCTCTTTTCTCTTTATGAAACTTAAAATTTGACGTGACTTTTCTGCTTCCGATGCTTTCCTCAACTGCTGGCATCTGGTTTTCTTGATGTCCCATCTGCATGCCTTTACTTAGTTCTACATGCCTTTACTCAGTTCTGCAGCGCTCTCTTCATTGTCAAATCCACTACCTTTTTTTTCTTTTTTCTTTTTCTTTTTAGTTCTCACAGGTTGCTCTAAAAAATCTTCTGTTGTATTTGTTTGATTCCTTACTTTCCTGATCTGCGTCGTCCTAACATCTCAATCTCCTTTCTCCGCCTATTGCTTAGTGTCGTCATTCATTTGTTAAACATTGGTTGAGCATCTATTAGACGCCAGGCATGAGGGAAACGAATGATTGTATAGCTTCTGCCTTCGGTGGCATTTATGTGTGACAGACATATAATGAATAATTGAAATATTAATAAAAATATATGGTATTTAATAATATGTGTTAAGTGCACTGATAGTAGTTTGATAGAATGCTGTGAGAGAAGAAAGTCCCAACTCATCTTGGGATAAGAGTATGGGAGTGTCCTAAGTTAAAGAAGGCAACACAAAAGATGGCTAAGAGTTAACCAAGCAAAAGATGAGAGATTTCTGGAGTATGGAAGGGCATTCTCATAAGAATGGGCATCACATGGGCAAAGGCAGAAATGGCACAGCATGCAAGCTTTGATGTTTACTGAAACAAAATTTGGGATGGAGATTGATGGGTAAGGTGGCTGGAAAGAATATTCAGGAGCTGAGTGCCAGAGGACCCTTTGTGCCTTGTTAAGGATCTTGCCTTTCATTTCATAGGTAGTAGAGAGACCTTAAGTGGGTGTAAACTTTACATTTTACATTTATGAGTGGAATTCCAATGCCTTTGCCCATGTCCATTGCCTTTATTCCCTCTTTACAATGTAAAAAGTTTATACATTTCTAAAAAGAGTGTATTTCACTTCAAATCATCAGCAGATTTTGGCCCATTATATTATAGGCATATGAGGGATAAATTCTCTTTTACGTTTTCTCAGATACATTATTGCTTTTCAATAGTAATAATCTAACTTGGAAAACAAAAACTGACATTTTTGTGTGCTTTACGTCTCAAGGTGCTGCCGCATGATAGCAAAGCTCGACGTCTTTTTGTAACCAGTGGTGGCCTTAAAAAGGTTCAAGAGATAAAAGCTGAACCTGGTTCTCTCCTTCAGGAATACATCAACAGCATCAACAACTGTTATCCAGAGGAAGTAGTAAGGTGGGTAAAATGGACTTTGAAATGTAATTTTCCTGTTTTAAAACCTACATTGTAAACCCCTTATGTCAAAAGATAGACTGTGAAATACTATGTGAGGCCAATGTGCATTTACTTCTCTCTGGATCTCTTCCCACCCAATTAAATAATGTTCTGATTGACATACACATTTTCAATTCAAACTGGAATGTCACTTAATACATTTCTGTACTAATTTAACATATGTTTTACCAGAGTACCAAAATAAAGAGTACAAATTAAACTAATAGCTCTTAAATTGTGAATACCTGATTTAGAAAAAGGTCTTTAGATTCTGATATTCATCGTTCCCTGAATATTGTGTTTCTGCTTTAGGCTTACATTTATATTAATGAGAATATTACAGGTAGAAAACAGGTGTTGAATAATGAAAAGAAAGTTACTATCTAACTGCAAAAAAATACGTGAATAATGTTGTTTATGATATGCAGGTAATTCAGAGTAATGTAACAAAACACTATTTTCAAGATTAATTTTTTTATTTTTTAATTTTAAAGATGTGGGGTCCAATTCAATGTTGGGTATTCAAATTTTCATTATGCAGGTACCCTTGTTGATGAGGTGTGCCCCTCCTTCCCCTGGCAGTTTCCCTCAACTGCCAATCCCAACCCCTCCTCCCCGGGCAGTTTCCCACTACTGCCAATCCCTTTCTTATAGTATTAGGATAATTGTTCAAGGTTCACTTATGAATGAGAATATATAGTACTCTGTTCTTTGTTTCTGTGATAGATCACTGAGTATGATAGACTAAATCCATCCAAATTGCTGCAAAGTCCATATGTTTGTCCTTCTTTATGACGGCATAATATTCCATTGTGTATATGTATCACATTTTTTTTTATCCAGTCCAACTTTGATGGGCAGTATGGTTGGTTCCATGTTTTTTCTATTGTGAATGAGCTGCAACAAATGTGTGTTCAGGTGTCTTTTTGATAGAATGACTTGAGTTCCTCCAGATATATTCCCAAAAGGGGAATTGCTGGGTCATATGGAAGGTCAATTTCTAGTTCTTTCAGACATCGCCACATTCTCTTCCAAAGAGGTTGTACTAGTTTGCATTCCCACCAGCAGTGTAGAAGCATTCTTTTTTCTCTGCATCCTTGCCAGTATCTGTTTTTGTTTGTTTTATTAATGATGGCCATTCTTACTGGGATTAGGTGGTGTCTCAGTGTGGTTTTGATTTGCATTTTTCTGATGATGAGTGAGGCTGAGGACTTTTTCATGTGTCTGTTGGCTGCCCGTATATCTTCTTTTGAGAAGTGTCTATTCATGTCTTTTGTCCACTTTTTAATGGGACTGTTTGTTTTTTTCCTTTCAGCATGTTTGAGTTCCTTGTAGATCTTAGATGTTAGGCCTTTGTCAGATATACAGCTGACAAACATTTTTTCCCCTTCTGTGGGCTGTCTCCCCCTCTCTTGATGGTTTCTTTTCCTTTGCAGAAGCTTGTCAGTTTGATGAGGTCCCACTTGTATATCTTATCTCTTATGGTATGGGCACTTGGAGTTTTGATCAGAAATTGGTTGCCAGTTCCAATTTCCATAAGGGTGTCTCCTGCATTTTCTAAGATTCTTATAGTTTGAGGTTTTGCGTTTAGGTCTTTGATTCATTTAGAGTTAATTTTTGTATGTAGTGATAGGTAGAGGTCTTGTTTCAATCTTCTGCATGTGATCAGCCAGTTTTCCCAGCACAATTTACTGAACAGGTTATCCCCTCCCCAGTGGTTGTTGTTGGAGGCTTTGTCAAAGATTGAGTTGGTTGAGAAATTGAGGCTTTGCTTCCGGAATCTCTATCCTGTTCTGTTGGTCCGTACGCCTGTTCTTGTACCAATACCAGACTGTTTTGATTATTGTAGCCTTATAGTAAAGTTTGAAGTCTGGGAGTGTGATAACTCCTACTTTGTTTCTTTTGCTAAGGATTGTTTTGGCTATTTGTGGTCATTTATGTTTCCATATGAATTTCTGTATCATCATTTCCAGGTCTGAGAAGAATGATGTTGGTAATTTTCATGGGTATTGCGTTGAATCTGTAGATTGCCTTTGGTAGGATGGACATCTTAACAGCGTTGATTTTTCCTATTCGTGAGCATGGAATATTTTTCCATTTGTTGTGGCTTCTTGGATTTGTGTGAGCAGTGTTTTGTAGTTCTTATTGTAAAGGTCTTTCACTTCTGTGGTTAGGAAGATGTGCTTTTTATTTGGTTCTCCACCTGCTTGTTGTTGGTGTAAGAATGCAACTGTCTTTTGCACATTTATTTTGTACCTCGAGATATTGAGACTGATAAAGTTCTTTATCAGTGCAAGCAGGTTCTTGACAGATTCACTTGGATTTTTGAGGTATAGGATCATATCATCAGGAAAGAGGGATAACTTGACTTCCTCCTGATTTCCTTCTCTTGTCTAATTGCTCTAGCTAGGACTTCCAACACCATGTTGAACAAGAGGGATAAGAGTGGGCAGCCTTGTCTTGTTCCAGTTTCAGGGGAAATGTTTCCAGTTCTGTCCATTTAGCAATATGCTAGCTGTGGGTTTGTCGTACATGGCATTTACTACTTTGAGGTATGTTCCTTCTATACCTAGGTGTTAGAGGGTTTTTATCAAGAAGGAATGCTGGATTTTATCAAAAGCTTTTACTACATCTAATGGTATAATCATGTGGTTCTTGTTTTAACATCTGTTGATGTATTTAATTACATTTATGGTCTTGCAGATGTTGAACCAGCCCTGAATCCTGGGGATGAAGCCTACTTGTTCACGGTGGATGATTTTTTAGATGTGTTTTTGGATCCAATTTGCTAGAATTTTGTTGAGGATTTTTGTATCTATGTTCATAAGGGATATTGGCCTGTAGTTTTCTTTTTTTGTTGGATCTTTACCGGGTTTGGGTTCAAAATTAATTTTTAAAAATGAAGTTGACTTACAGAACATTAAATCTAAGCCTCAGCCCTTATAAGCCTAAAGGAGAACTATATCACTGAACCCAAAATAAATAAAAGCAAAGTTACAAAGAAAAGACAAAATGATTTAAACAACAGAATCTTGCAAATTTCCACAACATGCAGAATAAAAGGCATATTTACCCATGTTTTTCTAATTCTACATTTATTTCTTATTTTCTTCAATTAAAGTCAGAAAATATAAACTCTAATTTTTAAAACTTACTATAACACACGAAGGGGGACCTAAAAGAACCCCAGAATTATTTTTTGGAGAGTGGGCCCCTTGTAGTACAGGCGTCCCTCATTAGGTAAGTGTTCTAGGAACCCACTGGCATCAGTGTACCAACCAGCATTGTTGTGGAAGGCTGCATTTGGCTTCAGTGAATTTGTTTTTTGGAGATTCTTTCAACCTATTTGCCCACTTCATGATGGGTGATTTTTGAGTGCACCTGCCCACCCCGCACTGAGTGTTCAGTAGTTTTTGACCAAAAATGGCATGACCCCTCCTCCTTATTCACCCCATCTTGCCCTGAGAGACTTTTTTTTATTTCCCTGGATGAAAAAAGTCTTCAAAGAGAAAGATTTTGTTGTTGTGGAAGAGGTGAAACAAAAAACAGCAGAAGCACTAAAAGGCATCAAAATTGATGAGTTCAAAAACTGTCTTGAGCAGTGGAAAAAGCATCTCTATAGTTATATTGCATCAAACGGAGAGTACTTTGGAGGTGACTGATTTAAACATGTAAGAATAAATATACTATTTATAAATAAATTCTAGTTTTTTTGGATCCCTCTCATATACTTATGTAAACTATAACATATCTGTTTAGTTTTCCTATTTAATATCATTGGTTTTTAGCCAGGTTCGGTGGCTCAGCCTGTAATCCTGTGCTTCGGGAGGCTGAGGTGAGTGAATTGCCTGAGCCCGCGGGTTCGAGACCCGCCTGGGCAGTGAGACCTCATCTCTACAATAAATCAAAAAATCAGCCGGGCAGGGTAGCGTATGCCTGTAATTCCAGCTACTTGGAAGGCTGAGGCGGAAGGATCGCCGGAGCCCAGCAGGTCGAGGCTGCGGTGGCCGGGAGCGGCCACTGCACTCCAGTCTGGGCGACAGAGATTCCAACTCAAAAAAAAAATAAAATAAAATATCATTGGTTTTTAATACTTATGGTCACATTGATTTTAAAAGCACAAAAACAATTTTAAGATTAAAATTTGTTTTTTATTCACATATTTTCTCCCAGTAAATTCTTTCCAGAATATGAGTTTATGTACTTTGGGGAAGTTTATGAGAACTTTTTGACCAAAAGTGTTCCTCCAATAAGTCAGTTTTGAAAATATTTATGTATGTAATATATCAATGGAAGAGTATATCATAATATGTATAACTACTCCACATGTAATATACAAATTTATACTTTGTGTTACCTGTGAGTATAAGAAATAAAAATCTTTTATCAATAAATTAAATAAAAATACTTTTATACTTGGAATGTATGTCCCTTCAGGAAGAATGCTATTTGATATAAGTTTAAAATAACTTTTAATATAATTTTCTAACACAAAGTATAAAAGATTTTTAATAAGTAAACTAAACTGTCCCCAAAATGGAATGACCTATCGGAATCTACCAATAGTAAGGTGCTTTCTTCAACAGAAGTTTTTTCTACCTTTTAAGACACATTTTTACTGAGCACCAGGAAAAAATGGAAAACTCTGTCAGATTAAAAATTAATCTGGTATTTTGTCAAAGTATCATTGGAAATTTAGTATTAGGTTCTATAAAATGATATTTATAGAAATCTTTAAAACTTGTCTTTCTATGAAAATAGACTAATATAATTTCAAAATGGTTTTATTTTTACAAGTGCCTGAATCATTTATTGACAGCTATTTTAGAACTCATTGTTCTTTATAAGACAGATTATCAGTGGATACATTCTCTCATCTGTTATTAGCCTAAATACTTATTTCATATAGCCTTCCAATTTTAGTAAATTTAAAAAATTTTAATAAAGGTAGGTTGTATCAGAGGGAAGGGCTCCAGACTAGACATTAGAGACCTAAGTTCTAGGCCTGGCCCACCCCATAGTCTTAAGGTGTCTTTTGAACTCCTTTGTCTTCTGAATCTCCACCTAAACTGGGGAGGGGAAGTAGCGTTGGGGAAAAGCACCTAATGTGGGGAGGGGTGTCATGTATATGTTCTGCCATTCAACACTTTTTTGATACAACAGTATAATAAGCCATATTCTACAAGGGTCTAGGATAAGGTTAATTCACTTACATTCTTGAAGGCCATTTAGAGGTAAGTTGAGAGCAGTAGTTGACAGCCAGAGGGAAGTCATTTCTTGTTCTTTTTTGGAGTTTCATTTTGGTTCTTTCATGAGGAGTATGGTTAAAAGCTCAGGCTTAGGTGTCAAACAGACTAGGTTCCTCTTTCTGTTCCAACTACTTGTGTGATCTTGAAAGTATGTTTAACTCTTAAGCCACAGTCTCCACATCTGTGAAATGAGGATAAAGATAATGGTCTATTTCATAGTGTTAGACTTAAATAAGGTAATGCTTAGCCAATGGGCATATATACTACATAGAAACAATTTAATGCAGTAAATGTCTGCTCATGTAAAGGACATTTAGCACCCCGTTTTCATTTTTCTTCTGATGAAATTAAATAGCATTGTTAGGTGGATTGAATTTTATATTATAATTATATTGGAGAAACTATATAGCAACACTTGGCTACTTATTGTTTTTTATTATTTTTTAATGATAAATCCATATCAAGTAAATTTTTGTTTCTTTTTTTGCAAATATAAAATATGTATAGATTATTCTGGTTAGATTTAGATTGCCTTTAGTTGCTAATGTAGGCTTCCAAATTTTCTCCTAATGAAAAGCTACTTTTGAATTCCTTAGCATCAGATAGACTTTATTTAGAATGGGGCTTTCTAACAATTAATTGGCAACATGATGTAATTATTTATTTATGGGTTATATACTGAAATATATACAGGGTTTGTATGCACTTATGGGACGTTAGATAGTGTTCAGTATCTCCTCTGCTGATGAGGGTGAAAGGAGTAAGTGCTGTGCACATTTTCTTTCCTGTGGGAATCCTAGAAATTGTGAAGTCTCTTAGGTCTTGGGGAGAAAAGTATGACAATTTAGAAATTAGCCAGATAGAATTATTGATAGATATTGATTTATTGGGGACTTTTATTTTAAAGTAACACTCTCCAATAGAAATATAATATGAGCCACATATGTAATTTCAGATTTTCTGGTAGCTACATTTTAAAAAGTAAAATGAAATAGGGTAAATAAATAGTAATTATATATTTTTATTAACCCAGGATGTCCAAATTTTATCATTTCAACTTGCAATCAATATAGAAATTATTGATGAGTTATTTTACATTTTAAAACAATTTTTTGAAATCACTTCAACACTTCTTCATTCAGATGCTAAATTTCATTGACAATACTTTACCTATATTTTTATTTATTTATTTATGAGTTGGGGTTTCATAATCATGGTTCTCTACAACCTTGAACACCTGGGCTCAATGGATTCTCCTGCCTCAACCTCTGAGTAGCTGGGACTACAGGTTTGTGCCACCATGCCTGGTTAATTTTTTAATTTTTTTGTAGAGACAAGGTCTCACTATGTTACCTAGGCTAGTCTCAAACTCCTGGGCTCAAGCACTCTTCTTACCTTAGCCTCCCAATGTGCTGTGATTACAAGCGTGAGCCACTGCACCCAGCCTGTATTTAGATTGTATAAAACTTGCAGTTAAAAAAGTAGACTCACAAGTTGTTCCAAACACACCTAAAAGTTTTCCAATAACTGAATAAATATCAGTTTTTAAATTTTAAGCTAAATATAAAAAATTTAGTTTCTCAGACACACTAGCAATAATTCTAGTGCTCAATAACCACTTGTGACTAGTGGCTACCAAATTACACATGATAATAGTAATTATTAATTCAACATCAATAGTATTATCATATTAATGCTATTTAATACCATATTATTAAATAAATATATAAATATTTTAATATGGTGAATTAAATATTTACCACAGTAAATATTAATAAGTAAATATATTAATATTTGAATCTAAAAATTTTACTTCAGTGTTCATCTAACCAAAGAGGTAAAAGTTCTTTACATGAAAACTACAAAACACTGCTCTAAGAAATCAAAGATGACACAAACAAATGGAAACATCCTATACTCAATATTGTCAAGTTGTCCATATTACCCAAAGCAATCTACAGATTCAGCACAATTCTTATCAAACTACCAGCACCATTTTTCACAGACCTAGAAAATATAATATTTGAATTCATATGGAAGCAAAAAGGAGCTCAAATGGTGAAAGCAATCCTCAGCAAAAAGAACAACTGGTAGCATCACACTCCTAGACTTCAAACTTTATTACAAGGATGCAGAAATCAAAACAATGTGGTACTGGTACAAAAATAGACACACAGACCAATGGAACAGAATGGAGAACCTACTCAGAGATAACATCATAAACCAACAACCAACTCATCTTTTGACAAAGCTGGCAAAAATAAACATCAGGAAAGGTAATTCTATTTATAAAAAGTAGTGCTGGGAAAACTGTCTGACCACATGCAGAAGAATGAAACTGGGCCCCTACCTATCAACACATACAAAAATTAATTCAAAATGGATTAAGGACCTAAACATGACACTCAAGCTATAAAAATCTTAGAAGAAAACCTAGAGAACACCCTCCCTCCTGGACACCAGCCTAGGCAATGAATTCATGGCCAAGTCCTCAAAAGCAAATGTACAAAAAACTACAATTTATGGGACCTTATCAAGCTAAAAAGCTGCTGCACAGCAAAATAAACCATCAAGAGAGTAAAGAGACCACCCACAGATTAGAAGAAAATATTTGCAAACTATGCATCCAACAAAGGCCTAACATCTAGAATCTATAAGGAACTCAAACACATCAACAGGAAAAAAGAAAACCCTACTAAAAAGTAGGCAAAGGACATAAACAGACACTTCTCAAAGAAAGACATACAAGCAACCAACAAACATATGCAAAAATACTCAGCATCACTAATCATCAAAGAAATGTAAATCAAAACTATAGTGAGATACCATCTCACACTGGTCAGGATAGCTATTATTAAAAAGTCAAAAAACAACAGATGTCAGTGAGGTTGAAGAGAAGAGGCAATGCTTGTACGCTGTTGGGCATATAAGTTAGTTCAACCTCTGTAGAAAGCAGCTTGGAGATTTCTCAAAGAACTAAAAGTAGTTACCATTTGACTTAGCAATCCTACTGGGAATATACCCAAAGGAACAGAAATCATTTTACCAAAAGACACCTTTACTCATACGTTTATTGTAGCACTAGTCACAATAGCAAAAACATAGAACCAATTCAGATGCCCATCGACAGTGGACTGGATAAAGAAAATGTGGCAATATACACTAAGGAATACTACACAGCCATAATGAAGAATGAAATCATGTCCTTTACAGCAACACGGATGCAGCTTGAGATCATTGTTCTAAGTGAATCATCACAGAAACAAAAAACTGAGTACCTCATGTTCTCACTCATAAGTGGTACTAAACACTGGGCACATGCAGGCATAAGGATGGGAACAACAGACAGTGGGCACTGCTAAAGGATGTAGGGTGGGGATATACAAAACCACCCATTGGGAACCATGCTCACCACTGCGGTGGGAAGGTCTCATCAGAAGCCCAAACCTCGCCTTCATGCAATATACTTATGTAAATAAAAAATCCTCATATGTACCCCATGATTCTAAAATAAAAATTAAGTTTTTAAAAATTTTAAAGGCTTTAAAAAAAATCTACCTTTTGCATTTATTTTTAAAAAGTGCCTTTCTGTTGTCTGACACATTTATAAGGCCTAGGAAGATTAGGTCTGTTTTAAAATTTGTGACGAACTCAGAAAGAAACAGTTGTGAATTCCTCAGTGAAAGAATACTTCCTTTTTGTTGTTGTTTTTTGAGTTGGAGTCTTACTCCGCCCAGGCTGGAGTCCAGTGGCATGCATGCTCACTACTATTCCAGCGTCGACCTTCTGGGCTCCAGTGATCCTTCTGCCTCAGCCTTCCGAGTAGCCGAAACTACAGACGTGCGCTACCACACCCCGCTATTTTAATTTTATCATAGAGATGGGGGCTCACCAATTTGCCCGGGCTGGTCTTGAACCTGTGGGCTCTGTCAATTCACTCACCTTGGCCTCCCAAAGTGCTGGAATTACAGGCTGAGCCACCAAGCCCAGCGAAGAATAGTTTCCAGAAACCCACTGCTGAAGGACAAGGGTAGGAGGCCTTTAGGGGAGAAATATTCTTTAGGTAGCTTTTTAGGTATATATGTCTGTTAAACTGTAACTACCTATAAGTACACTACTGAGAAAATACAGCTCTGTTTTGCCCACTTTAACTTCACAAATTATGGAAGAAATTAGTGTAATGTAAATTGTGAGTTTTTAAGTCAAGCATCTGGGCATAGATAAAGATAACAAAGGACAAAACAAGTCTCAAACATTGGGTTTTCCCTAAAGAAAATGCCTTCAGAAGATTACTTATTTTGAGTGTTTCGGAAACTTTAAATGTTCACTTCCTTAGATTTTTTAATTCATTCATTATAGAATAATGCTTTAAGAATTTTATTTAAAATACTTTTATATGCATATGAATTCTTTCCATGACATATTAATCACCCCCAGATGCATTAACAATATAACTAATACTTTCATACTAAATCATTTGTAATGTTTTTTATTTATAAATATATATTTATAGTACTTTAGATGCTGAAAAACCAATAAAAATGATTAATTTCCTGGATTTGTATAAACAAATATTTGTAAATAATTTATTAAACAGTTATCCAATGTGAATTATATTCTTAGAAATTTTTGTTTTATGAGTGACCAGCTCTGATTAAAACACACACTGAGACTCATCTCTAAGGCAACCAGAATGCAGTTGATTAGTAACAATAGACTGTGTAGCCTAACTTATGAAAAAAAAATTCTAGTAGCTCTGATCCATAAAGCAACATTAGTCACTTGATATAATAAAAATAAAGTCTCTGTAATAAAATATTGTCAGTGGATTCAAGTCTCCTTCTTGGAAGGCATCCCTTTGCCATTATATATATACCCCTTAAATTTTCTGCTACTTCTCTAACCACATTGTGAGTTAATATTCTTTTCCTTGATAGTCTCTAGTCTTATGCGGGAAGCATTACTGGAACATAATTATTCAGGGTGTATTTGAGGTTTTACTCATAAAATTATTTCAGATGGCTTTCTTATATTGAATATTTTTTGCCTACTGTGCTGAATCTTTTTACAAGTATCTAACAGCAAATTTTCTTTTTCAGGTATTGCTCCCCTGGATATTCAGACACACTTCTGCAGAGAGTGGACAACTATCAACCACTTACTAACTAAGCAAAGTTATATTTTTTACTCAAATTCGCAGCTGAGTAGTTATGAATAACAGTTTATTGAAGCTCTTTCTAAATATTTGAACTAAGCACATTTCAGATTTATTCAGTATGAAATACATTTAGATAATGTTTTCTAAATTTATGTAGTACTTTAAGAATTAGTAGCTTGAATATATGAGGACTTATTCAGTCGTTTGCATGCATAGAATTTGTTCTAAAGGTAGATTTTTTAAAAGACATGGAAGGGTTTTAAGATATTTGTTCTTGTTCTATTAAAACTACACACACGTACACAGAAGCATGTGCACACACACACTCATGCACATACACATCTCCAACTAGATAATAAATAAGAGATGGTATTCAAAAACCCTTGGTTATTTTTGGATAATTCCTTTCAGGCACAGGCAAGGAAAACTGGCTATGCCAATTATACAGTAGGATACAGAAGAGACATAGTTGAAAGAGGAAACTGATGACAGACATACAAGGCATTTTCAAAAGATCCTGATGCTGGTTACATAAGTATATTAAACTAACAACAGATTCCATGAGTTACCTGCCAGTTTCCCTAAGAATTTAGGAAAGCACTCATCTTAATCACAAGTTTTCAAAGCTGTCTTCTCACCCTCTCTAAAGTTTTCCTTACCTTTCACAGGGCTATAGAGGGTAGAAGTCAGTGCTCCTACAGGCATGCCTTCCCTCTCATTGAAAGGTTTCTTAGTCAAGCTCTGTTCATGAATAAACAAACAAGCAAGCATGTAAAATGGGTCCTCAATATTTCCTTGCTTTAGCTTCACTTTCCCAAGTTTCAAAAGTTACATTTTCAAGGACTTAAGGAATAATTTGAAGAGAGTACCATCAGACTCAGATTTTATATACATTTTCACTTAAGAAGCTATAAAGGTGTGAAAGAGGTTTTCAATAAAATTTTAAATAAAAATGGCATTAGAATTGTCCTTTTTCATTTTTCCTATCCAGTATGTTTTGACCTTGGGAAATGTGTGATTGAATTTAGGGGTCTTGGTTAGTTGGTATGTGCAAGTCTTTTGATCTGAAGGGATATTACTTCTGGTGCTCTCCTAGAGGCCTGAATGATAAAGCAGCCAGCCCCTAGGCTGCAGTGTTTCCAGTCTGATTCTTTTCAGGTTTCTTTCTTGGACTCCTTTTTTCCCCCCCTGAAAGGAACCTACTCATTTATTTTTGGTGTTTTCTGGCTACATCTTTGTCATCATTATTTTCCAACAGTGCAATACTTTCTTGTGTCTTTTAAAACATCATACTCAAGATTGCCCTGTTTCTTTTTGTCTTATGTCAGGGTAAATTGCTAGTGATTTCATGGTTTAATATTTCCTTGGGCCTATTTTGTTTTCTTAATTTCTTTAATTCATTAAATAGGTAAATATAATTTTTATTCCCAATTTTGTAGCTTTCCTTTCTTTCCTTCCTGCCTGCCCAGCTTATCTTATGAATCTTTTAACAATCTGAGAAAATAAAAGTAGTTTTTATCTTTCTTCATTAAGGTTTTTTCTTAGATGACCATGTTGGTAACTAGAAAAACTTGTTTTTCTGGGTTAAAACCTCCTCAGCTATTATTGGAATGGTGAATTTCTTATGAAAATTTTTCCATTATACTGTGTAGTTGAAGCTTTTCACTTCATTCATCTTATACTTATCAGACAGTATATAAGAAGATAAGTTTGTAAGAAAATAAGAAAGTAATAAAATAATAGTGTTCAGGTGAGTGTCATAATTGATCATATGCATTTTAGAAAATTTATGCTAGGGAGTGTTTCTTGACATAAAACACTTTAAGCAAATTGAAGCTTTCTTTACTTTTTGAAAAGTTTGGGCCAGGCTCTGTGGCTCAGCCTGTAATCCCAGCACTTTGGAAGGCTGAGGTGAGTGGACTACCTGAGCCCATGGGTTCAAGACCAGCCCAGGCAACTTGGCAAGACCTTGTCTCTACAATAAAGAAAAAATTAGCTGGGCATGGTAGCCCGCACCTGTAGTTCCAGCTACTTGGAAGACTGAGGCGGAAGGATTGCCGGCACCCAGCAGGTTGATGCTGGGGTGGCCATGAGCATGCCACTGCACTCCAGCCTGGGCAACGGAGTGAGATTCCAACTCAAACAACAAAAAAAGAAAAGTTGTGAGATTAAAAATAAAAACAAAATCTTTCCTATTTGTGCAAGGGAAAAATTAGTGTCTTTCAATGATATTCTCTGATATTTTTCACCTCTGGTTTAAATGTTGTCAATTCCAATTCTCTGCAGTCAAGCCCCTGTTCCACTCTCCCTACCCACCCCATCCTGGGAGTTTATTTAAAATTCAATTATCTTTAGAATCTCTAAACCTATATGAAAACTATTTTTAGAATTTCAGTTTAGGAATAGAATTGTTTGGACCTTATTATTATAGATGCAGTCAATTCACCTATTGTGGAAATAGGTGAAATCAATAGTGCCTGAAAAGAGATGTTAAAAACTTGGGTTCTAGACCCTAGTCTTTTAAGTAGTAAGGGTGATCAAACTTACTCAGCTTGCTCATAAGATGCTTATGAAAATAACCCACAGTGGAGCATGTAACAATTTTGTAAACAATTCCATTCTATATAACCCTGATGTGTGATTAATGGGAAATCTGATAGTTAATGACAGATTCCATATTTTGGCCAGCAATTGTGCAGTATCCCCCAGGTACTGGGATAAATAGAGTTTAAACCAGATGATTTATGATAAAGAAAAACTACATTTTCTGCCCTCATGGAGTTTTCTAGTATAAACACGTCTGCCCAGACAGAGAGAGTGGAATAGGCACAAGACACTGAACACATAACAGTCATATTTAATGTAGTATGTAAAAACACATGACAACCTCATATTTACAGGCTATTGACTTGTTTTTCTAACTCTTTTAAAGAAAACCCTTTTTCTTAAAGGATGAAAGATTTGCTTGTTTCTAAACTTGATTAAAGTCCTGCTTAACATAAACCCTGACATTAAGTTCCTGGGTGAAGCCATCTCCACTCCCAGATGTCAAGTTTAGAAACCAACCTTGAAAAAATGAAGAATTTTTATGTTGTGTTTTCAGATAGCTAACCCTTTGATTAAGATAGGTGCTAGCAAATACTGAGGCTGTGTACACTGGGTTTATTTTTTCACAAAATTCACTGTTTAGAAAATGTTGATTTGTAGCTATTCTGATTCTTTCAGAGATTAAAAGTATCAAAGGACAGTCTCAACTTGTAACTATTGCATTTACCAGTTGGTTGAGAGACTTTTGAAATTAGATTTGCCCATGCACTTATTTTTCTAGTAATATGAGTTCTTATATTGTTTTTAAGAGGCCTTGGTAAGTCATAATATTAGACACATACTCAGTAATATTGTTTTAATGAATAGTGGGTTTTATTTTTGTAGATACCAATAATCTTTTTAAAAAATTAAACAATATGTGAATGGATAAAGAAAAAAGCAAAAATTTCACTCCAGATCTCACAGCCCAGAACAGAACTGTCATTAACAAGTTAACAATTTCAAATAACTCTCTAAGCCTTTGTACAGCTATAGATAAATTTTGGAAAAATATATTCATGCTAATATATACATGTTATTTTTAAATAAAATCCAAAAGTTATAGCATTGTGCTGTTTTCATGGAAGATAGTTTTCACTTTTATTTCAGTAGTTTAAGGAAAAATATTTCCTCAGTGATTGAGTCAGGGATTGACATAAAATATTTATAAATGCCCCACAAAACCATAATAAAAAATATTGATTATGAAAATATATATATATTTATAAATGAGCTCCTTTTATTTATAATTGATAAATTTTCTAAAGTAGATTTTAAACTGAGTCCTGGATCAAAGATATCATACTAACATATTATTGCAAAGTGGTTTGGTATAGATATTTATACATTAAATAAAGCCTCTAAATTTTCCCATGTATATAGAATTTGTGGTAATGCACTCTTGCTAAAATGTATACATTACTGAGGTAAATGTTTATTCAAAGTATTTTTGGATATAAAGAAGTTCAAGTCATTGAGAACTATTGTAATCTAAATAGGGCCCTATGCTGTTCATATTTCTGTTGCAAGTATTGTTTAAATCATATAAATATGGTTGAACATACTCAAGTATGTTCTTTTAGATGAGCGAAATGTACCTTTCATGTTCTCTTCAGTTCCTAGGGTCATCTAGCACTTTGGTGAGCACACAGGAGAATTAGTGGCAGATTGAACCGAAGATCTCAGCTTCAAGGCTCCTGGCTGACCTAGGCCTGTCTAGCTGTGACCATGGTCAAATCTGTTCAAGTCCCTAGGCCTTAGCTTTTTTGAAATATCATCATGTAGTGGGGAAGACTATAGGCTCTGGAGTTAAAGAGGCTAACATTAGAATCTCAAAACTACTACACCCTGAGTTAGTGGCCTTGGACAAGTTACTAATAGCACCCACTTCATCAGATCCTGAGGATTATTAAATGGGGGTGAGTGAACACATGGCTTAGCACATAGTAAGCAGTGCCACTATTAGTCTATATATCTTTGTGAAATAGAATAAAGTGCCCAGTCCTCAAGACACCTTATTTCCATCTAGCAGAAATTATTGTAATATTTTTATTTTGCTAGAGCAACACACTTTACTGCCATCTGCTGGAAAATTCTCTATAAATACGTAAATTATGACATCTAATATGTGAACCATGTCCTCTTAGAAGTATTGGTGCCCTTGTGTAGCACACAATTAACACATCTGTGCATGTAAGTGCTCAGTAAATTGTATTTTCTACTCTTCTTTTCACTTTTATAAGTGGGGGTTGGAAGAGAATTCCAGACAAACAATGCTATTATATGAAGGAATTCATCTAAAAAAAAATCAAGAGAACAAGTTAATCCCAATAAAAAGAATCAGCATTTTGTTATAAAACCTGGAAACATTTGTACTCACTACTTCCCTCTCCTTCCCCCATAGAAAAGTATGCTCTATAATAAAAGTTGCAATTTAAGTTAACAGAGATACTAATTAAGCCATTACTTTTGCATTTATAAATACTGGATGTAAGACCAAATTAGAGAACATAATGCATGCTAAAGCAAAGTATGTTTTGGAATAACCCATATATCCTTTTCATCTTGACCTTAAAAATTGGATAAAAAATATTATACTAATAACCTATTGCAAGATGACAGAACTCTGAAAAGTATCTTTGCTGGGCTCCATTGACCTTTCTTCATTCTCAGAACATGGGCTGGGATGTAACAGGTGTGACCTCCTCTTCTAGCCAGATAGTTCTTATTCAAGGGATGATTATCATACCCTTTTGCACACAAAAGGAAATATTTGGCTCATTTTCATACCTAGCAGTATGATCATGGAGAAGACTGACCAAGAGTTTATTGATAACTGGAGCACTCTTCCAAGATACAGGATTTATCACCCAGTCAATGACCAACCCCAGACACAAAGACGCCTTTTGGGAGCCTGAAGAAAGCAATAGCCCAGTAAGTGAAGTGGACATGCCATAACTGCCATGTGAGACTGGAAGAAAGTATCAAACGGCTCAGAGAGGTGGACATGCTGGAGTGCACACCCTATGTAGTGAGGGAAAACACGCCAGCTGACTGTCCCAAGGGAAGTCCCAAAGGACACATTACGTACCAAAGCAATAATTAATGCATTGTTAAGAGGTAACAATCACTGAGAATCTCAGTGAAGCCTCTCTCCTGTATGCCTGGGTTGGCTGGAGGAGGCACTATTACAGTACTGAGCTCCTCAATAGAAATAAGGATAACTTCCTGAAATAATAGAGGCCAAGCAGCAGTACTTAACTGTCAGAAGCAAGGTGTGTACAATTATTACAGTAAATGGCAAGATAGGTGTGGCATCCAGGAACACAAGCCACAGAGACTTCTGAAGATGATTAATAACACTCAA